AGGACAATTTACCGCCCTGTACTACCCTATGCATAAAAAAATTACAAAAAATCCTTTAAATTACTAATTTTGAAAAGTCAAAAAATATCACGGAGATAGTGTCAAAAATGAGTGTTAGATCAACAAAACTCGATTGATTCCCCCCCCATGAACTGGAGCTTTGGTCGGTTTGTTGTTGCCCCCCCCCCCCCAAACCTAATTGTGATCCCACTAAAAGAGAAACATTTCATATTTTCATATTTTTATTCAACTACAAAGCACAAGATAATACGAATAAAAAAATCACAATTTACTATGTAGTTTGGACCCGCCTAACCAGAGTAGGTTGGCCCACTATAAACGAATGAGAATTGCAGATAAAAACAATGTACATTGTACATTTTAAACATAAGAATGATAATAAATCAGGTAAAAGGTAAGTAAGAAACATATGATTCCAATTTCACTCAGAGCTGTTACATAAAATTTAATAAATATTTTACCTCCTAGTTTGCTTGGCAAAGCTTTCACATAATAACAGTTGTTGAAAGCTACGCTTCCCTATACCTCAGCCCCTCATTTTATTTGAAATCATAAAGTATCAATATTTGAGTATTAATATTAAGTTGAATTTTTCTACATGACACAGTATAGTACTGCTTAACCAACAGAATCAAGTTATCATGCATTACTTTGACTTTGCAATATGATAATGATATATTCACATTTCTTATTTGTTTTTTAAAAAGCTTTTCAACTGGGTCAGGGGGGGCCTAAAAGTCTGAAAGCTTACAGGAGATTACCAGTTCATTTCCATGGACTCTATGCATATAATTAATAAAACATGATGTTTTAATTAGGCTTAAACAACTATACTATGAGTAAATCAAGATGTTTTGTTATATTTAATTAACAGAGTGACTGATCAGCTGTTAGTTAGCCTGTGACAGCTGTGGAGCACATGAGACAGGACTCAGGATGTCCAGGATGAGTTGACTTGACAGAGTACACGTACACACACACACACTTTTAATGAGTAACACACAATAAGATTATAATTTGGTTTGAGAAGGGAATCAACAATTGCTTGAGCTATATTATTGGTAACCAGATTTTAGAAAATTATGAGAAAAAAAATTCTTTTATATTGGACTTGGGGGAGGGTGCAAATTCGTCATTGCACCCTCCCCCCCCCCCTGTTTACGGGCCTGGCTGTTCTAATTTGTCATTTACAGTTGATATTTACCTGCAATTACGATCCCAGTCAGATTATTTCCAAAACAAGAGGAATCACAGGATGGAGTTTAGTTGAGACTAGAGATGGGAAAGGTTTACAGGTTTGTTTTTGGAACATTCAGAGTTTTTTACTTTTGAGAGGATCTTGTTATAGGAATTTGAGATATTTAAATTATTTCAAAATTATATTCTCACCTTAACTTTTATTTAGCAAAAAAAAATTTGATGAACTAAATTGCTATTTAGGAATATTTTTCTCATAAGAAACTATTGATACAAGCCATAGTTGAACCCTAGAATCAATTACTTAATTTTTATCATCAACCTTTGCTGTGCTATAATTTTAATCACAGACTTCATTAAACTATTGTCTTCACAATTGAAATATAGAAAACCTCCAACAATTGCATAAGCCTGCAAGATATTATAATGAATTTTAAAAACTTATTTTCAATGATATAAGTTCATTAGTTTTCTCAACCTGTTTGTGTACATACAACTAGTTTGAAGAATCGTATTCAATACATGTTTTGTTCACATTATTTTAAAATTGTATAAAACCAGTTCTTCTGCTGACTGAAACAATAGGTAAAATTTTACAAACAACTTTATGCTCATAGTTAAAAATTGTACATCGTGAAAATGTCTCATTGGTATGATATGAATCCTAATCACAATTAACCTTACAATACATTGCTGCTAAAATGCTTAACTAAGATGCTGATGGTCCCTGCTGCAAGAGGCTCTGCATGTTTCTTTGATAATGTTATTTTTAATATTTATTTTCATAGAAATATAAAGACAAACTTACATACTTGATAAAAGACAGTCAAGATTATTTATATTTTACATAAAACAACCATAATAAGTATTTTATTAAAAATTTGTTATAAAGAACTTTAAGTAAAGAATTAGAATTGATCAATTTTCTAAAATTCTTTTGAACAGATTTCATATGAATTAGGGAATATTCTATTTAGATTATATGGTTCACAGTAAACAGATAACATTAATTACAACATGCAGAATTTAAAAGATTCAAAAGTAACTTTTTTGTGAGTGTAAGTGAGAAGTATGCAATTAACAACTAATTCTTGGTCTTGGTTAAATTTCCAGAAACAATATCTAAATAACTAGGAGTATCTGATTGTGCAAACTGTACTAATACAATTAAATATCCAAGAATAGTGCTGAAAGCAGCAAGCATTGAAGACTTGCTGACATAGAAGAATCCCAAGGCAGAGATCTCAGTTTCTTCACAAACCATCGACCATCCTACAATAAAGGTCTTGAAGATAGTGTAGATCATCTTGACATTAATGGTAAATAACAAAAGAATTTAGAAGACAATAAAAAGGGACTACTTTAATTTGTCCTTACTCATTTATATCTAAAATATTAGATGACAAATATCTGTTTTATTAGCATTTGAGAAGCTTATTACAATGCATGCTGGGACATAAATTGAATTTTTAGATAAGGATATTTGTTTAAAAGAAAAGTTTAAAATAATCTTTCTCCATCGTAGTTCCTCCTTGATGTCTGCATCTGTAGTTAGATCAACAGCATCTCTAGAAAAATTGCGGTTTAATGAAATTCTGTAGAAAAGATATCTACATACCGTAAAACTTGTCCAGTAGATTGAAGTGCTTCATAAGCCTCTTGGCAACAAGCAGATATATTCCAAATCTTTATTATAAAAGAGATTAACAATATCAAAATAGGTAGGTTTGGATCTTGAGCCACTCCATACATCCAAAAAACTAAGTTTATAACAATATATGTATACCAGAACAGTGAAATTGGTCCTAAACCAACTTTCAGATGAGAATATTTGATAAGAAGTTTCTTCATTGCGAACCCCTTTCCTTTGATTGGTAAATTCTGAATTTGCTTGCTATAGTTTACAAATGTTGTAACATAAGTGTTGTACAAAATCATTGCAATAACTGCCAACAGACTTTGTATGCAATAAATTATAAAAAAGAATACTCTTTCTGTAACATTCTTTCTTTCCATTCCCAACATAACAACAGCTGTTATTAAACAGATTGTAAAGGAGATGATTTCCATTTTTCGGGATGAAAGTGATTCATATTTTCTCAGATCACTGCATTTAGCTACTAAGTATCCCATGCAGATAGGGGTAGCCAAGAGCAGTATGATGTTAAAGAAGTAATTAATTTCATAAAAGACAATCCCAACAATTTCATTGAAATTTGATGTATTTCTAAGATATGCCATGATGCCGGGACCTTCAGTGGCAAGGATGATAATATTCAGACTTGATGGGGTACATGACCACAAGAGAAAGCAGAAGAAATATCGCCAGGATAGAAATCTAAATTCATATTCTCCAGTACAGTTTCTTCCAGCGGGGACAATCAGTATCTTAGTTATAAACCATATGAATGTTGCGAAGAAAGAATCTTTATCTTGAGAAGCAGGTCCAACTTGAATCTTCATTATCAGTTCTGTTTTTATGTTAAAGACTTAAGTATGTATAATATATCCTTTGATGTTGCAACTGACTACCACTACTGTCAAGTCTGTTCTAAGAAGCTTTTATTTTATAATAAACTGAGTAATTGTTTCAATAACCACCATTTCCATTCTTGAATAGGGACAAAAGTTCTATTGAATATTTGAAAACTTTTAAATTAGCTTATTTTAAATAATTGGAGCACCTTTTCAGTAGAATACAAGGACAATTTATATTTACTTCTAGATACACAGAAAATAAATGTTATTAATTAAAAGCTAAAATATTAACCTCACTCACAAAGTATTAATGTATTAATTTATCATTCAATTTAAAGTTATGTATGTACATGCACAATTTTTGTGCAACAAATTTTGACAGGAAACCCTTTTAACTTTAATAGTGGATTTTAATTAAATTTTACAATATTTTTAAATTTAAATATAATGTCAGATGGAAACATTTTAAGACTTATAAATTTCTTGTTATTCATTCTTTCTTTTTGATCTTCCATTCCTTGTCCATCCTTCAACCATACTTTGGCTAATTTTGAAAATGAAAATAAATGATTTTTTTCGATGTTTTCTGCAGCATATATCAATTATTGTACCTAATTACTCATCGGAACTATCACATTCTGTTACAGAACTATAACTTTCAGCTACAACATCTGTTTCATCTTCTCGAAGGCTCTTAGTTTGAACAGTAAGATCAAGTTCAATAACTTCTTCATCTGTTTCATCTGTTTCCTCTTTTGCATAGTTCTTCATTGTTTCTCTAGGTTGAAGAGTAAGAGCTAAGAAGGAAGCTAGACCTGCAGAAGTTTTTAAAACCCTCGTTCGATTCCATGCTCAAAGAGACGCAAAGATTTTACTGCAAAAACCGTTGATGGTTGGATGACATCTGATCTCTTTGACAGCCAGATCAGATGGCTGTGACTCAAAAAATCCTAGGATAAATTTGTCCCAGTATCTAGAAGATCTATACCTTCCACAGAGGTTTCTAGGAACACTTTTCAGCATTCGCTTGGAGAAAACAACATCTCTCATGTCCATTATTCCATACAAGATGGAATTCCGTAGTTTACTACTGATGCTCTGACGAGAGTTCCGCTCTCTATTAGACATAGACAGTTTTGTTTAGTTCTCCTGTACTTCTTGCATATGTTCTCTGAGAAGCCTCTGATTTTCTTCAAATTGTACTTCAGCTTCTTCAGAGTTATCCACTACTTTTGCTGCACTACCATGCAAGTACGCAGTATCTTTCTCAAACAAAGTAGTTGGGTTTATGATATAGCTTTGGCTTACAGTAGCTGCCGAGTGGGCATGAACAGCTCCTTGTCCTGAGCTGGAAGTGCTCTGTGCAGAGCTGTACTCTGAATCTTGCGTGAATCTTTCAATCTCAGGTCTTTGCTAAATCCGAGCTCCTAAAGAAATAAACATTATTGATTATATTAATAATATTATAAAATCAGTTTATTATCATAAACCAGTATTACCTTGAAAGCCTGAAGATTATAGATGTTGTTCATCTGGAGTGGATTTCCATCCTCCCTTAGAAATAGTGGCGACGTCTTATCAATCTCCAGGTTGGTATTTCTCTTCAGATATTCTGTTGAGATCCTGCTCCATTTGTTCAGGGCACTGGTGAACTTGCTTGAAAGCATGATAAAAAGGGTTGCTTTAGTCTTCCCTTCTTCAACTGCTGAGAATCTAAATAATATTCAATTAGAAGTATTAAATTATTTTGTTTCTCATAAACGTTTTTATTTTTATCAAATTGACTCTTCTGATCAGATAATTGGTGCTTACTGCAAATTTGACTTACTTGTTCAGCTGGAATGTCCACATTCCTGGCAGTTCACTGTGTCAGGCCTGAGTAAACAAATCCTGTCTCTTCAGGATGTTTGTTAATTTGGCACGCTGACCATTCTGTAGAACAGTTAGAAAAGCCAGTTGAATATTCAGTCGAATATACTGTTCCCGATTCAGATCCAATTTCTTATCATGGATTTCCTCGATTTCTTCCATGATGGAGAGAAATTTTGGACCATCGAAGAAATCTTTTATCTGTTTCTCTACCTGCTCATACCGATCAGGATTGAACTGTTCGCTCAGTTCTTGAGCAACTTTGGCAGATTTCTTTGCCGCAGGTTTGAGATCAAGAAGACTGTTGGAGAAGTTGTTACAACATAACATGATGTATCTTTGAAACTCTTGACGAGCTGCTGCGAGACGGATATCTTCAGTATCAATATGGAAAACAGAGGATTTTTCCCATAGATAGTCGTAGAAGGATACAATAGCAGAAATCCGTGCAACTAAACAAAAAATTCAATAAGTTATTTACGAGTTAAGAAGCAAATTGTTGTGTTATGATTATTGCCAAGCTGTCAGTAATTAAATTTAGGAAAAAAAGAACTTACTTGAAGTGCTGGGATTTTCTGTCGCTGCCCAAGCTTCAACTTCCTTTGAAATACAGACAGAACTAGGGAACAGAGCATCTTATCAGAGAATATTTTTCCCTTCCAAATATTTATAAAGATTGTCATCAGACTTCCCAAAAAAATATGTAGCATACTGAAGAACTGTTTTCTCAGATTTGCGTTTACCGTGACCTTGAATCCTTGGTTTCAGATACCAAGTAAACAAGTAATCATCTCTAAGACAGATTCTTCCTGTAGGTACTCTTGGTGATTCATAATTGATTTCCTGGAATTCTTTCAAGGAAACCTTCATCCTAGGATCTGATTCATCTTGGGTTAATGCAGTACCAACTGCTTCATTTAAACGATTCAGGAACTCTGGAGAAATATCGGCAATTTCTACATCAATATCTACTTCCGCTAGAGTTTCTAGGATTTCTGACTTTACGTGCAACAACTTAAGCACATCTTTGGAGAATATTATGTTTCTTACTTGTTCAGGAAGATCTTCTCCAAATTTCCAGTTCTGGATGTGTTGTTTAATAAAGTTTGGTACTGACAAACTGACAGGGTTTGCGACTGCCAAACGGATAGAAGATTGCGGCCGTTTTTCAGGTTCTCCTAATAATAAATTATTTTTTCAGTAAATCCAGTGATCAAGTATGCAATCAATAATAATCAATTTAATCTATATAGTGCTGAGAATTAATTTAATTTTAAGTTACCTCTAGGTACTGACAAACTGACAGGGTTTGGTACTGTCAAACTGATAGAAGATTCCGGCCGTTTTTCAGGTTCAGGTTCAAGTTCAGGTACTGGAAAACTGACAAGGTTTGGTACTGACAAACTGACAGGGTTTGCGACTGCCAAACTGAAAGAAGATTCCGGCCATTTTTCAGGTTCAGGTTCAAGTTCAGGTACTGACAAACTGACAGGGTTATGATCTTTACTCTTTGATTTCAAAGACTGTAAAACGGAAGCAGATTTCTTCGAATACTTGATGAAACAGGTGCATTGCGTTTCATTTGTTTTTCAGGTTCTCCTAATGATAAATTCAGTCAATCCATTGATCTAGTATGCAACAAATCAAACAATCAACTAGGTCTATGAATCAATCTCTTAATATTTCAGACCATTTATCAAACAATAAATTAAAAGTTCAAGTTACCTCTACATGACACTGGAGCATTCGAAGGTCCGGCTTCCATTAGATCAATTTCAAGTTGACTTTCAGAATCTTCTAATGATAAATAATAATAATAATAAGTGGACATTTCAATCAAAGCAATAATTTTAAGTTTAAGTTACCTCTACTTGACACTGGTGCATTCGAATGTCCGGCTTCCATCAGATCAATTTCATGTTGACTTTCCGAATCTTCTAATGATAAATAATATTGTCAGTCGATCGTTTGATCAAATATGCAACCAATCAAACAATCAAACAGTTCATGAATCAATCTATTAACATAACATATCATCAATAAAAGAATTGATATTGATTTTAAATTACCCGTATTCGCCTTAGTGGTGGATCTTTGAGTCTTGAATTTCTTGGGCTTTTCTGTCACTCTCTCTCGGCATGGCTTTTTGGCACGATAGTGTCTGTAGAGACTCTTTTTTTCTGTGAAAGAAGATCCACACAACAAACATGTTTTATGACCCAATTTTGGATCCTTCATAAATCTGTCAACAAGAGCTTTCCTACGCCCGGAAGCTCTGTCTTCTTCACTGTCTGTTGCAAAGAGTTGTTTTCTCAGAATTGAGAAATTTGCTGTTCTGAATCTATCTTCATCTTCTTTTGTTCTTGAACTGACTTTATCTTCTTTTTCAGCGGATATAGAGGAATCCGAGGACTCATCACGATTTTGATCATCCGTCTTAATCTGCGGGAATTTATCAGAATCTGAAGAATCATTTAGAACTTTCCGTTTCAGACGTTCAGGTACAGGAGTTTCCTTAAAAATTTATTTAAAAATTAAGCAAATAATAACGTAATCAGACCTAGAATAATTTAAATTAACCAAAAAAACAGTATAATCATACAGCAAATTAACCATAATCATACAGCAAATTAACCATTAAATACTCTGTTATACTTACAAAGATAAGTTGTCTTCTAGTTAATTGGAGTCTCGTAGGAGTCCTTGCTGGAGTGCCTCTTGAAGTAACTGGTTGATGTAACGGGTTTTAAATAACATCAGGTATTAGGTTAAACTGTTCCAAAGCTTCATCAACTAGTGTATTCCATTCTTCTTCAGGCATATTACACTTAGGGTATAATTTTCTGTGATGTGTTAACAAGGAAAAGAGTTTGTTAACATTGTCTTCAAAACTTTTGAATGGAGAGTTTTGTATATCGATATAAGCTATTACTTCAGATATAAGTGCCACACAGGGACACAATTGAGTAGATGCCCATCTCTACTTGTATAGTGCCACACAGGGACACAAGCCTAGCTATCAACAAGCTATTACTTTGGATTTAAGTGCCACACAAGGACACAAGCATGGTGTTTATATATGCCAACAATAGACTATTAGGGACTGCCAGTCAACCATTCTTTTACCTTGTCCATGCAGCCTAAATGATATGAGGAACATGAAGAGACTGAAATCTAATCTCTCTTCAATAACCTACTTTATGTAGCCTCGATATTAACGAGGAACCATCAATGTTCCGCGTTAGTATATTCCTTAATTACTACGTTCCCTCCTTTACCTTGTTTTTGTAGCTTCAAGACTACCTAATTAAAATAATATGTTGCCTCAATATCAACAAAGAACCATCAACGTTTCTCGTTGGTATAATTCTCAATTTGTATGCTTTTACATAGTCTATGTAGCCTCAATACCAGTTTTTCTTTAAAAATGTATCGGTAAATTGATTCCTCCATAATTTTCCTGAGAACAAGGAGATAAGAAACTACAAGACCCTGTGTCCTCCCTGAGCCAGAAAAGAATAAAACTCATTTATTCTTTATCAAGTGCTCCATGGAGGAAGAAAGTGAAGTATGATAATGTGTTACCCCTATAAATATTACTATTTAATTCAGAATTTTAATTGTGAATTTAAAAATAAAACTATCTTAAAACTGACCTGTAGAAAAGAGGTTTGTAATTTCTCATCCATTTTAGATATACATAAGCTATAAATACAGAAGCATCCCGGAAGCACTCACAAAACCTTAAATTTATGTAAAAAATCTATTTTGTTAAAATACAGTGGAAATGTGTTGTCTTCTGCATTCAATACCAATCTTTAGCAATTCATATTATTTGGTGGCTTGATACCAGCTGAAAGGTGGCAAAAATCCGTGAAAATATTTTGTTATCAAGATCAACAAAGATTGAATGAATTTCATTCTAAACAGATAGTATTACGTAGTAAATTTACAATTTTTATTTGATTAAAAATGTTTCATCAAGGATATTAATGAATATTATATTAATTAAAATAAAAAAGAATGAAAGACATCTATGTATAATGCTTGTAAAAATACTTTAAGAAGATGAGGAAAAGATTTTATAAGATTTCCTTAGCAAGCTTCTCCTTGCAGAAAACACTTCAACCTAAAGCACTGCTTCGCCACCTGGATAGATATAAATTAAAAATTAAATGAATAGATTGCAAAATGACATTTATTATTCATATTGAAATCATCTTTAATCTCCTGTTCAACGAAATAACCAACCTTTAATTCCCTCCTTTTTTATTTCCAGGGAGGATAATTACTTATCCTCCCTGTGAACCATACAGATTTATCAAATAAATAGTTCTCTAATTTAATTTTATATTTACATTAATCGCTCTCTCAATCAATTTTGAATAAAATAGTTGAAACAAGTAAACTACACGTACACCTAGTTTAATATTTGATCTAGGAAAGATCAAAACATGTACATACAGCTTTACTGAGCTGTCATCAAATATATTATATTTCATCATTCTTTTCAGGTTTACATAATTACATTGTAAAGTTGTTCCCCTGAAAATGTTCGATAATTACTATTTTGTCTGCATTTTGAATCACATATAGGGCTTTCTACTCTCAGGAGGTGAAGCTGAGGAACACGTTTAAATATTCTCCATACAGACTTCGCTAACCTCTGTTTTTTTTACTTGATTAGAAGGTCCTTGAAGTTTATCAGCCATGGATTTTACAGAAGCTTTGCTGGATGATACATATTCTTAAGGCATGCTCGTATTGGACCATCCATAAAAATCCATAAGCTGTTGAACGGATGCTCCGCTGTCAGCTACTGCTGTGGCGGACAAGCATTGTAGAGAATGAAATGTAAAAGATACTGGATTATCTAGACCAAGAACTGTTGCCATTTTACATGGCACTAATACTTACAAGATGTTTCCCCAAAGAGAAAACAAATGTATGATCTACTTTTATTTTAAGTTAAAATTGCCTAGTAATTAAAATTGTTTTAAATATCTCAGTTTAAAAGTAACCTTGAAGGTGTTGAAGAAAAAATGCCATTGTACATGTTGAAAGCAAACCTCCACTGAGAACAGGTTGATATGTGCTGTGGTTCGTTCAAAAAAGGAAAAATTTGATTTGAGAATTTGTTAATTTATGTATATAAATCTAAAAATGGAGAATTTGTGTATTATTTGGGTAAAATTAAATGGCCAATCACTGTCTATTTCGTCAACATAAAGGCATATAGCTCTCCATTTAATAAGGGTTAATCACTTAAACCACATATCTGATCTTAATTGGTTAAGATTCAAATGAGATTGGCTGTGTAGTGATTATCAAATTAATGCTTCACTTCACACTGCAATGAGGGAATTGAAGTTAGAGTCTAAAGAATTAAATACATATATTTAAAATTGACTTAAACTTATGTCCTTAGTTCCTTTAATGTTTCACATTTTTGATCTTATTTTGCACTTGA